CTAATGCACTTGGTTGAAATATAACAAAAGTATTAGTAATACATTTTATATAAACACCACAGTGATTTTTTAAAAATAATCAATAATCTTAAGATATTTTAGTGTCAAAATTATAGATTTTATTATAACAATTATATTTATTCTATATTAATAAAAAAAATTGTAATTAAATATATAATTAATAGGCAATCTACTAGTCACCTGAATAAAAAAATTTTTTTTATATATAAATTTTACTATAAGCATGAATGCACAGTGTCTCTATTTAAAAATTTTTTATACTAAGTAAATCTGTCTTTGGCTTCTAACAAAAGTTGTAGAGCTTATTAAAACATATTTATTTATTATTTTTTTTTTAAGCAATCCTGCCTTTATTCATGTGAACTATTATATAATTTTTATACCCATGTGTACAAAATTTTTACAACCTATTGCTCTAACGTAATAAAGACTCACCAAGCATAAATGCCCAATATGACCTACTATAACAACTGTTTGTCTACTCAGGGATCATGAACTTACTCATAATTTCATATCCCAAAGGGTACCCCTCGATTATGGACTGGCCATTGTATATCTTGTCAGGATCACCAACCTTTTTTCCAACTTTTCCCACCAAAATCCGGGCAAAATAACTATCTCCTACTCTTCTATAAGCAAGATCATATATATCATGTTTATGAAAGACCAAAAACATTTAGGAAAATGAAAGGAAAATTAAAACCAAAAACAACAGAAAGAAACTATCCTAAATATAATACCATCATAAATGGACTAGCAAAAAAAGTAAAAAAGAAAAGTTGGCGATCCCAACAAGAAAAAGGAAAAATGCACTATTATAACCCATACCAGGCGAGTATAAAAATTATATGCTTCTAGCAACACTGCATATCTCTATTGTAAGGCTTTGCCTAAACTATCAATTCCTCTCTGACTCTACTATCTCCAGAAGTCTTTGCCCGGGTTCTTCTAATCAGGTACTGTCATCATTCCACACCAACTATTTCGTTTCTAGTGGCCTCAAGCCAAAACTGGTAGCACCATGCCTCCTTATCAGACACATGATTGCTATCTACCACATCAACTGGATATGGAATGTAAACACTGTATAACCTATACTGATCGTTTGGAGAGGGTAAGCCAAATCCCCACTTTTTGTCAAATTTTTGGGAGACCAACAGGAGGGCGAGTAGAAGAAAAAAAAAAGAACCACCTGGCTGAGTAAAAGAGTGTGGCTTGAAGAAAGGCAAATACTTGTTGTTTCCCCTGTGTTCCTCGTTTCGAAGTAACAACCTAAGTGCTTCGTTGACGGAGAAGACTCCAGTCTCTTCACTAAGATTTTATATCCAAGGGCACACACCTCCTGCCAGTTATCTTGTATACCAACGCTCTTGGCTTGCATGCCAAATACACAGCTTATAAAGAAGTCCCGGAAGAGAAAAACTATTAACCTCTAGACAAACCACACGTTAGGCCACGACTCTTCAACAAGATTTTTGTTTTTCTTTAGTAGGAAATTCTGGTCCAAATGATCATTGGGAGAGTTTTCGACTGATTTGTTAAAACATATTTAATACTAAAAGGATATTAAAATTAGCCTAGTAGTTCTTGAAAAATCTTTAAAAACTTCTTTTTCATATATAAAATTTCTTTAAAAAAAATTAATTTTTTAAAGAAATTTTATAAGTGAAAAAGAAGTTTTTTAAAGATTTCTCAAGAACCACCAGGCCAATTTTAATATCCTTTTAGTATTAAAGAGTGATTTACTTAGTATAAAAAGTTTTAGATAGAGACACTGTGCATTTATACTTATAGTAAATTTTATATATAAAAAAAAGTTTTTATCCAGGTGACTGGTGGATCGCCTATTAAATAGAATTTATTAAATACTTTATTATTAATAATATAAATGAATTGCCAATTATAAGTATAAATAATTATTTACTAAACTATTGAACTATTATTAAATCTTAAAAATTATATAAAATACAATAAATTAAGTTTAAAGATTAGTGATTCTAACTCTTAATATTTAAAATGCTTCAGCTTCAGTAAGATTTTCAGTAAATATTTTTTGAACTTTGAAGATCTCTTTGATTTAAAGTAATGCTGGAATTATTATGATGTGTGTGACATTACTAGAAGGTAAATTATGTTATAGATAGTGGTCTCTTTTATATCATGACACAAGATGTCTTTTATTATACAGGATTTAATCAAATTACTTATCAAATAGTGTGAAAAAAACTTATAATTTTTAAGAAGTCTTAACAATCAGTATAAGCTTCTTAAATTTCTTTAATATTTTAAATCTATAAAATGATATATTTTCACTATTGTTAACAATAATTTTCAGATTATATATTTTTAATAAAGAAATAATAATTTTATCTGTTATTTATCATATAAAATTCTATAAAACCCAACAAAGAGAAAAAATAAAGTTCTTATATAATGTTTTGTTTGATTCTGAAAAGAAAACTCAATCTAATTTTAACAAAGAGTCAAATACTAGCACAGAACATATAGACAATGATGCCTTTATATTTAATTGACATATATACAAAAGTATAAGAAAATAATAAAAAAATAGATAATAAATTAATTAAAAGTAACAAATTATTTGAGAGTAATGATTATAAAATAGAAATAATTAAAAAGAAGTATGATATGCCACTTTTTTTTGAAATTGAGCATTTTACAAAATTTACAAATTATGTTATTATTGATAATAAAATCAGCAATAAGTCAACTGAAATTCAAAAATGCAACAGTGTAGAGGTTTGAAGTATAAATCAACTATCAGGCATGTGGGAGGTTGACTTTCAAACTGTAAAAGAAGTTGATAATGAGGTCTTATGACTAGATATTTGTATGTGGCATTACAACTATGGTCTAAAATATTTACACCCAGGTGTAAAAGACAAACTATTTACAAATAAAAGTATGATTACATTACATTGTTATCTTTTTTGTAACAAAATAAAATATTTTTTATAAGAGGCAGAACATATTCATCACATATCCAAAAAGTTTGTGAACACATTATCCAAGTTCTGTGCTGTGGATTATATAATTGTCTAGCAATTACCAATTATGAAAGTTTGTCAGCTAAACTATTTGAAATGAAAGACCTCGATTTATTTGTACAGACTACTTCATTATATATGACAATGAGTTTCTATAAATTCAATTAATGCAGAATGTTGACATATTTGTGTTTGAGTAGTCTTTTTTATTTTTAAAGTTAAATCAATATCAGAAATAGACTATTTAAAAAGCAAGATTTTAATTTTGTTATTAAAGAATTTATATATAGTTATAGTAAAATAATATAATAGCAAAAAATTAAATTTTATATATACTTTACCTTAAATAATTATTAATTTTTTCCTCACTTGCTAAATTATAACACTTAAATCTTTTATCTTTTAGTAAAAATCATTCTGTTTGTTCATTTAATAAATATTGAATACTTTTTATACTCTCTTTTAACTCAAATTTTAACTTAGTGAATTCTTGAGCCTTTTTGCATATCTTATTTAAAGTATTTGCTGTATAAAATAATACTTCAGATTCTAAGCTCATTTGATCATATTTGAGTGCTACACCCTGAAAACCTAAATTTAAAGTGCTCATAATTCATTTAGCTGAGTTAGTCTAGCTATAATTTGGTGCAGTACGAACTGCAATTAGTATATCAAAATCTTTACAAATAAAAAGACAAATCAATGCAATCTGTACTGATCTATAATTACACTAATAGTCTGAGCCACTATCTGTATAAAGACACAAAATTGGTAATATTGTTTGTTGTTTGTATTGAATATTAATTGTATTCAAAAACTCAGTTGAATGTTAAATTGCACTACTTGATTTAAAAACTGTATCTTTATAAGATACAAACACTGACCATTATAAAATGATCCTAAAATATCATCAGGAATTGATATAAAAAATATAACAGATGGTGTTAGTGAAAGCTTAGTAAAATCATAGTCAGCCAGTAGCTAAAATATTGTCTTGAGTACCTATTTTGTATACCTGTAGAGAATGCAACATCTTTTTCAATTGGAACTTTGTATTTATCATCTGCAGATATTAAACAAGTCCATTAGTGATACTTAATACAAAATTCTCTAAGGTATCAAAAAAGTGCTGCACAATAATGTTCATCATCGGAATTTTTTTGAAGCAATCAACTTTGTACTTTAAACTTCACATTAAATTGACTAGTATAATGTATTGATTGAGTTTTAATAGCATGAAATTGAAGACAAATCTACTCATTTGATAGAATATAAATAGTAGAAAGAAGAGAATTATTATATTTAACTTTTAGGCTTACTACTATAATTTCACAAAGATCTCAAACAGATATAGCTAATAGCAAATATAAAATAGATTCATAGTACTATTCTTCTAGTGCAAGTAAATTTTACTCATTAAAATAGACTTCTAATTCATTCCTGAATATATTAAACTTTATTCTATTAAATTCATTATTTGTTCATAGATCAAATATAATATTAGAATCTGCTAGATTTAGCATTAAATATAATCTTTCTTCTATATTACATGAAATAGCATTTGAAGTCACAGCAGCATTACTAGTAAGATCAAAATAAAGTATTTGTAACACAGCTAGTAAAACTTTCTTAATATAAAAATATTTATTTAACATATTTTTTTGCATTTGTTATGTAAAATAATGAGGAAATTCCTTATAAATTCTAGCTAGCATACATGCTTTTAAAGTTTCATTTTGTATATTATTAAATTAATTGTTTTCGGAAATTTTCTATATATAATTAATGGTTCCTAAATAATTACCTTAATAATATCTATATACTTCTATTGAAAATTCAAGCTGTAATTCTTTTATAAATCAATATCACTTCATAGCATCAATTGGAAGATATGATTAAATATTAATATATTCATAAAATGATTTTTCAACTAGAACTTCATTTAGTTCAATATAAATTTCATTAATGTTATTATTTTTTACAATCATCAATCCAATACATTATAGTACTATTTTCAGAATTACAGGCACTTTCATTACTATTATGAAGATTATTCATATTAGAGTTAACTGTAACAAGATAGTCTGAGTATTTTTTAAAAATTTCAATCAGTGAAAAGATTTTAGGCATTACTAAGTTCCATATTTCAGTACTTGCCCATGGTTGACAAATAGATAATTAAAGAGAATTCAAAATGTCAAAAAGTTTTTGGTATGATAATGAATTTTTTTTATAGTGAATAGTATGGTAAAATGTGTTATATGTTTCACCATTCTTATAAATTTCTAATTGCATAAAAAGATCTGGCAGATTATCTCTTAAACCATACAGTTAAGCAGGCAAATTTGCTTGCTAAAAGTTTATAAATTCATGTATGATCTACTTTTATTAAAAATAAAAATATTTGAAAAAAATTTTTATAATAATTATAATTATATACTATCTAAAAGTTATTTTTACCTCTTTAATATTTATAAAAAATTTGAAGTTATATATAAAAGAAAACTTTATAATTTTTTTAAAAAAATTCAATTTTAAAAATTTTTTTTTAATTTTATATAATAAAAATTTAAGATTTAACCCTTTACAATAATAAAAAGTTGTAGAGAATTTAAAATTAAATAACTTTTATTATTATATTTTTTATAAATTATTAAGCTAAATTTAAACTTTACTTAGTAGTAACTAGAGTTGGGCACCAAAACCCGAAACCTCTCTAAAACCTTAAAATTAGAATGTTAATAACTAATGCATATTTACTATAAAGTAAATAAAACATTTCTGAAATGCAATCTAATTATCATGTACTTTGTCTTAAAGTCTAAAATTAAAATTCTACCCCTTTTAGTATAGTATAGAGTTTCAGAAAAGGTTTCGGGGGTTTGGAAAAAATTTCAGGATTTTATATATAGTTTTGGGTTTTGTTACCCAAATCTAGTAGTAACTAAACATTTTTTTTTAAAAACATATAAAAATTTAAGAGATTTTTTAAAATTTTAATAATAATATTAAAAAATTAGGTTTATTAAAAATGTAATATCTTTGTCAGAATTAAAGATAAAACAATAAAATTTAAATACATTATTTATAAAACAGATATCTTTAATTTTTACTAAATAAATAGGGGGGTAAGGCTTAAATAAATTTTGAGAAATTTTAAAAAACTTTTTAAAAATAATTTAAGCAGGCAAATTTGCCTGCTATACGGTTTAAGGGATAAGAACATGCATCTAATGTCAAAAGATGTGGATCGATATACCAAATAGCATTTGTAAGATGAGTTATAAATTCTTTACCAATCATATCATGTAAGCCGCCTGTTCAACAAACTTACTTTTTGATATTGAAAAAATTTAATAATTTCATTATAAAGCCGATCACAATTATTGTGTTCAGCATGGCACTGGGAAGTAAAGGTTTACTTGCATTTTTCATTAAAATGTCAAAAGCATTTAAACTATTATTTAGTCTATCCTGTGTTATAACTGAAGTGTCTAAATTGACTCAATGATGAGACAAAATTTAACTTGTAAAAATTCCAAAACTTCCAGCATTCTTAAATCACCTCTAGTCCATTGTCAACTTCCCGCCAACCTTCGGATTTTCCTTGTCTAACAAAAACTTGTACTTCTCTATCATCATATTACCCCAATGCTATTGTATTAAAAAGGTCAGAAAACTTTTTATTTACGGGTTCTATACTCACTACACGTTCTGAAATAATACATTTAATGTTTTCAGTGACTTGAACCAAAAGATAAAGCATGTTTCAAAAACAAGAAAGGCAAATCTACTATAGATTCTTGCTGCTTAATTATGCAGTAATTCTATATGAACTGTTACGAATAATTTATTTACTTGCAGGTAAGTTTATTATCAATTGTAAAGATATGAAATTTTATTTTTATACACAAAGAAGATAGTTTAGAACAAAGATAACTTTAAAATATATTTTTACGTTATATGAAGCAATTTGCTACAGATTTTAGATTATGATATAATAAGGCTTAATGTTTCTCTTTATTAACTCCTCCTTTTGTACATAATAATAAACACGTTAATGCTAGAAATAGAACATGCAATTTCTACTATTCAATTATTTTATACGTAGTATGCTATCGGTAAGTTCTCATTTACAATTTCACTTCATTAAATATTAACTTATAACTAATCTTTCTATCTTATTATCCTGCGATGTTTCTTTTCTATATTTTGGATTCACTGTCACACTCTAATCTTAAGTAATATTGCTATTAATTTCTTAAATTCAACTTATAGCCTTCTAAATTCAGTATAGTCTTGAAGAACAAGAGCTTGTTTAGAGTTTAGAGCTGAATTTATTTTTAGATTCGGATTTATTTAATTAAATTCGAATTGTTAAATATTTTATTCTTATTTGATTGAAAAGATAATAAAAACTGCGCTAGAGTTAATTATATAATACTAATTTATGAACATGAGTATGTGAGTACATATATTCAATTGATTATACGCAGTGAAAAAAAGCTTCAACTACCTAAAGACGATGGATTTTATTATATGCATTATTTATCATTATGGCAATTTTATAGGAAGTTGAATACTTTCGGACCATTGTTACTTTACATTCGATTTGTATTATAAATTCGAAGGAAATCAGATTATTACAAGATCATGGGACTTTATTGTGGATCACATATAATTTGTTTGGTTAAATACATAATGAATACAGGTATTGTGGGTAAATTTATACGATTGTCTTAATTGTGCTTTTTTTAGAATATCAATAAACTGGTAGTGGGCTAAATGTAATCAGGAAAATGGGTGTAATTTCACACGAAAAGTGCTTAGTTGTTTAAGGAATATGACTTGTAATATGAATCAAGGAACGATATTCTTGAATACCTGGGAAAATGAATAGGCATTTTCAAGCCGCAATAGTAATTTATAAGTATGTAGTTAAAGTTGAGTCCGTTACATTAGAATTACTGTTTCTATTTTGATTCAGAATTTATTCGTTAATACATTCTCTTAAAAACTATTGTTAAAGTGAACAGAATTAATCTTCATACTCACCCGGTGATTTATTGAACGATTATCATAATTCATAGATTGATTACAAAAATATGAAATGTAATCATTCAAATGATTAAATATCGCATTAATTACAATTTTAAATAGAAATCGCCATAGTCTGACCAAAATTTTTTCTCACCATCTGACAATCAAAAACGTTACAATATAAACCCAAAATAAATTATATATTGTATAGATGTATATAGATAGATAAAATTGGTAAGCTTTACTCTGTCGTCACTATTAACGCATCAATATGATGATTTGTATGTAAAAATAAGTTCTCACACACTGGTCACATTTTCTGAAGATGACCAATCAAAAATGTTTAACCGGACGAACTCTGGATTAGATGGATCAAAAAATATGAAAATGTAATCATTCATACGCTTGAATATCGCAATTACAATTTTAAAATAGTCTGAACAAAAATTTTTCCTACGGTTTTGGATATAGTCAATCAAAAACGTTAAAGTATATTAAATTAATAGGCAGATATTCGTATGATTGGCTGTTTAAATCAATTTAATTTTACATTGTTTATACAGTTTAAAGTACTTTTTAAAAAAAGAAAACTACTACGAATAAACAAAAATGAGGTATATAGAAAGTTTTATTAGGGTTGTAGGACTCCACTATTAAAAATAATCAAAATTCTTTTTTGTTTTAGAGAAGT